GAACTGCCATGAAATCCTCTTTAGTGTGCCTAAATTCTTTATTATGTTGAACAAGCAGCACTGGCCTCAGAATGACCAGACAGAGGAACATCGGCACCAAAACCTGGACTAAGATTTAATCAGTTAAGTCCCATTAAGAGGGAGACTTGAACACTCCTGTGAATGTTTCATACATCCAAACATGGCCGGTATTTAAATTTCCATCACTGAAGTTCCCTAAGTGCCCAGAGTCTGGATAACGCACATGGTTACCAACACTTTGGCCCATCAGAGTGCCTTAGTATTTTGATCCTGCCCAAGACATTGAAATGTAACGTCAGGAGAGCATTCAGGTTTAGCATACGAGAGGGACAGTTGTTTTAATCGCATGCTTTTGCTCAGGGACTGCAGAGCCCAGAAGCCAAGTGCTCACCCTCCGAGATGCGCTCAGTGTGTTGCAGAGTCACACTGGCTCTAGCTCCTTTCTTTTCAGCCCTGTCAAGCCTTCATTCTTACCTGCCTACATGTCCCCAACACGTGCATCTATCTGTGTGCCTGCAATTCAGGATTTTGAAGTCAAAGGTGGCACACCTACAAATTGGCACTGCAGAGCTTGCTTACCTGCTGTTACATACCAGTAAGCACTAAAGATTCCATCCTCCTCTCAAAATTCAGGACAAAGCCACTTGAGAACAACCTTCTTATGGCTTACAGGTAAAATTAACAAAAACCTCAGAGCTATTTCTATCAAAAGACAACTAAAAATTACAGAAACTCTGTGCAGACCTCAACCTTCTCTGGAAGCTAAGCTATTATAAATGTAGCAAGTTAATTTAACTCCCCAATAAGATAAAAGAGGAATTTAAAGAGTTCATGGTTATTTGCTCTCTTTACTCTTCAATGAGCAGCTCATGACAACACCAGGATTTTTATACATAGATCTATCATCTTCTCCTTGTTCTGTTCTGTTTTGGTTAACATTATGAAGGTACCAGTAAGGTAGCAACTCTCTCAAGCCACTGGGATGCACAGGACTAAATTTTAAAGAAAGTATACAGGAACTAACTTTTAAAAAAAACATAGTTTTAAATATGGTTTAAACCTATTTTTAAACCCTAGTATTTAATGCACAATCACTTTCAAGTTAATATCATTCCTCTCCTCCTGAGCTTTCAAAAATTTCTTTTTCCTTTTTTAATTTTAAAAACATATTAATTACTCAGAACTATGCTGCAAGAGCTAACGGTCTACAATTAAGATTTCTGGTTCAGAAATCAAGGTATATTTTTTGCAGAGAAAAGTATGAACACCTAACTCCATCAATAGCTTCCCAAAGAAAAGAGTCAGCTACTGCTATCAAGTTATTTTAGAAGGCAAGACTATCTGCCTTTCTTTTGAGCATTCTACGGAACTACTACATAATTTAGGATAAGGGTATTTATCCTTTGCTGTTGCACTGAGAAACCATAACCAAGGCCCTACAAAGCACCACACACTAAGTATATTTTGTAGGTCTCCAATCTAAATGAAGAAATAAAAAAGTGTAAAGAAAAACAAAACAGAAGAGACACAGATTATGCATCCAAAGCCAGCAAAAGGGAAACCAAGTAAGTGCAAAATGTGCTTGAGGAAAGAAAGTAATTATCACTGCACAGGAGAGGCATTTGTGCTTTCCAGTCTGTGAAGTCTGATAAAGTGATGGCTTCAGCACAGCTCACTGGAAATAGCTTGGTATTGCTAACATGTAACACAGGCTAGTTGCTGCAGATGGATAGAAAAAAAGTACTATAAAATTCTAATTCAATTATTTGACAGCAGAAAAAAAGAGAAAACTATTACAGTTTTAAGTTAGATGAGGAAGAGACAATATCTTCCAGTTCGTATGTAATATGCACAGTATTCCTTGCAAGAAGATGAAAGAGTCCACAAAGTGGGAATTTCAAAGGTTGTTTCCAAATTAAGGAGACACCTGCCACTAAGCAAGAGCTAGAAATATGAAAAAAATGCATGATTTCTTTAAATATACCAGAAGACTGTAATAAAGTAAGGCTCTTCACAGATATCTCACGCTTGTGTGCGACTGATGAATCTTCTAAGGAAGCATTTTTAAAAGTTAAATTACAAGATTAATTGTGAAATTTTTTTGTAGGTCAGTTTCCTGACATACGGCAGCTGAGAGAAAAACCTGCAAACACCTACATGGATAAAGTTTTTTATATGCACCTCTGTTTTGCATTCAGTGTTGCGAGGACCTTGTCACTGCAATAATTAACTAACTGTCCACTTATTTCTGCACACAAATCACCACCTTGAATACTTTGCTGGGTGACGTAGTATTTGCTGCAATGGAATGAACTGCAAACTTCTGCAGTCAGTCGCTCACCTTTGAGAAACAGCTAATTGATAATGCAGAAAAATGTTTAGGAGACTGCACGCAATACTGCCAACCTCTTGCTGAACCAGGAGATAAAGACCAATAGAGAACAGGCAACAGACGCTGTTGCCCTGAGACTGTGCACATTAACATCTGGCAGCCACCAAAAGGGCAGCTGCAGTGCCTTGACATCTGTGGGCTGCAGCTTCTACCTAGAACAGAAACCAGAGATGCTTTCCCTCACCACTGCTCGTGTTACTACACTTGCTTATTAAGGCAAATATCAGTGGTTCTTCTGCATTTTTGTTTTGTTATGAATCTATCATACATAGCTGGAATGTTGATTTTTAGCTTCTTTCTGAATTCTAGAAAACTTAAGTTACACAAAAACCTGTGTGGTATATTGTGTCATCTTGCAGTCATAAAGGAACACAAGTCCCAGGAAAAATGCTATGTTCCAATGGGAAAATGGATTCTGAGGACAGCAACACAGGTTATTTCATGAGCTTTCAGCTTTATTTCTGTTTGTTTGAAACTGTTCTGTAAGAACCAAGAATGTCAGGGGAGTAAGTCCCTATGCAAAATGTGAATATTAGCACATTAGAAGAAAGGGAATACATACTTAAGTGTCTAAGCATGCGATTAAAATGACAATCTTTTGCCTTTTCAATAGCTTTACATAATATCATGGTCATTTTGAAAATTACAAAACTTTACAGCAATTAGTACATTCAGTTTACAAAGGGATGGAAAAGATTTACAAAGATGACACATTAGTGTCCTATTCGACCCTCTAACTAAATAAATGCACTACCTTTGTGATACACTAAATAGTACGTCAACTGGAAAAACTCAGCAGTTTGCAAAAGGGAAAAAAAAAGTCTTCAACTAAAACTATATGGGGATTGTTAACTAGGCAAAACAATTAGCTAAACTGCAATGCAGTTAGATAAATTGCAATGTAGTTTTTTGCAATGCACATTTGCTGAGCTTTGCACTATCAAGATTATGAAATATTAACACATCTATCCAGAAGCAGTATCTGCTTCCATTCAATGAACGTTACTGGGTACACACAGACAACGCAGCAACCTTGCTGCCAAAAGAGCTCCTACCCCATGTAGAAAAGGGGGGGGAATGGAATGGCCCTGTTCCTCCTACCACTGTCCATCATTACTGAGTCTTCCTCAGAGCTTTCAAGTCCAGACACCGGCCTGATTTCATCTGGACAGATTACAGAGTAGAAAGCAAGCACTGCAGAAGCAGCAACAGACTGCCAGCAAGGTTATAGACAGGAAGAACATGAGAGCTCGTATCAAGTGTGGAGAGGAAGAAGCATCACACTAATTCTACTGTGTATTCAAGACACATTCAAAGAGTTCAGAACAAAAACCAGGAGTAGATATTCTGACAGGAATGTAAGGAAGTTCTGTTTCATACAGGATGATAATTTAGCTTTTCTAAAAAAATACTTGCTTCAGTTGTCCAACGCTGACAAACTAGTGCAAGTGCATACACTTCTGGAACTGAAAAATAACCCAGGCTACAAGCATTACACTAAACCATCACATGCTGGACTACAAATGTAAAAGTACACTCTAACATAACAAAGCAGCATCATGCATGCATAGACCATAGAAAGATGAGACTCCAAAAGCTGGTTCCCAGTTTTCTTTTTATATCTACACTGTAAATCTACACATCTGTTACTGAGAGCATACAATACTGCAGTATCTTTACAAGGTAAGTGGAAACATCGTTTACCAAAGCTAGTAAACAGGAAGGCATAATCTACATAAGAAAAATCACCCAAACAGCCAAGGAAAAGACCCAAGTGCTGCCCAAGATTCTGGTACCAAATCATTTGCTTGCACGAAGTACTTATTCTAAAGTACATTTAACTGATACAGAGAAAGTATGGCAATAATGCAGTGTCAGGCATGCAAACTATGTAAAGACACGCACGCCCCACCAGCAGACACTGCCAAAGCGTAAGGGCTGAGTAACGCTTAACTTCTCAACTTTCAATCTTTGAGGAACTTGAAGCCAGACTTGAAACAATGCAGAAGTATTCTCTGCTGACATATTTATCTCAATTCACTAGCAATAACCTTGGATGAAAAATGGGAACTAAAACAAGGATATGAAAGTTCAGTTTACATTTAAACAGGAGAGAACCAGGAAAACTCTGTTCTCTGTTATGTGGGTTAAAAAAAGAGAAAAAGCATTCAGTGATGCTACTTTACACCAACATAAAACACAGTAAAATTTGCTAAAATAACCTCCACTTAGAATCTGTATTTCTCCCTGCTCTTATCTTCAAATCTGTTTGTTTAGCTCCAGGCTATTTTTCTGGATCCGTAACATCAACAATGATTAAAGTAACAAAGCAGAAAAAATTTCTAAATATGCTGTTTGTTTTTTTTTTAACCTTTGTAGTGCATTTACAGTGCAAAATATGTATAAAAATCAAGAAGCTAAAATTCTGAGTTAAAAACAGAGAATTCTCAGGCTACTACCTATCTTCTTTTGGGATGGTAGCGAGCATCTATTAAATCACTGCAATTCTCAGAGAAAGTGTCTTAATTTTTGAAAATAAACAAACAAATCTTATGTTACTCCTCCCCAAGTCTCCAGAGTTACTTACAGTTCCAGAATAAGAATGACATCTGTTTTGTTCTCATAAACATCATGCAGCGTGATCACATTAGGATGTCGAATCTCTTTTAGTATGCCGACTTCTCGCTCAATATCTTCTCGGCTCACTCCACGCCGGCTGGATTTCGTTCTCCGTTTCTTGATGAATTTTGCCGCAAACTGCTGACCAGTGCTTTTCTCACGGCATTTTTTCACTACAGCAAACTGACCACTAAAAAAAAAAAAAAAAAAGAAAAAAAGGAAAAAAAGGGGGGGAAATGAAGAAGAGTGTTTGGTTCAAGGAAGCTTATAGTTAAGAGTAGCCTCTGTTTACTACGGTGGGGGAAAACAGCTGGACCTCTGAATTACTAACTTGACTGAAGTACATTACTGTTTTTTATGCAATCTACAATAAAACCTAAAAAAACACCCTAGAAGAGGCAGAAAAGATAAGTTAAGATACTGCTTTTAAATCCCACAAACACACACACACACATTTCAGCAGACCTGTAAGTAAAAGATAACACCTGTGTTAGACCACTGGATTTTTGACAAACATGCATCAGGGATTACTGGGGAACAGTAAACTTTTCTGGTTTTCTCCTTCCGTATGCACGCTTAGAATAATTTTTTTTTGTTCTGCAAGAGGGACAGTCCGTAGTTTCTTTCAATCCATATGATCTGTCAATATTCTATCTTTTATTCTATCCTCAAGTTTGGTTTTTTAACAATAACAAGTTTTTAAAACAATACTGGGTTTCAGGACACTGCTTTGCTTTTTAGTTTTAAAAGCACAGACTAAATACAGTAATATAAAGAATTACAGTTATTGTACCATCTTGTTAAGTAGGAAGAGTTTAAAGGTGAGAAAAGTACTGAAGCACTAAGGAACAAAAACCTGTGATTGTGTTACAAACCAGAAGAAACTCCAGGAAGCTGCTGACTCCAGCACGTTATCGTTGATGTATAAGCCTGTTGCTGCTAGATGTACACACTGATTCAGATCGGAAATCTCCTGGAATCCAATGCCAACTTAATGCAAGAACAGGATTTCTAATACTGCTGAGTCTTCCTTTTAAGTTTTCTTAAATTTCTTGTTGAGGATTCTCTATCAATTCTGTTCTCAATTTATTTCACTGTACGAAGAATTCACAGAATTACAGAATGACACCAATGACAAAATTTTCTGAAGCTAGCCTACCCTGTTAACTAAGAAATGGGGTCCCCTAGACTTGTAACAGCGGTCAAATCAAAGCTAAGCCAAGTAGTCTTGACGATCCACATAGCGATGTAACATGTAGGCATATGTAATTCCAAAGAGTACCTGGAAGAGGAGCTAACCTGCATTAATAGTTAATTAATTAAAACTGACAGTGATATCTCTAGGAAGATGTATCACCCACAAAAAGGGCATCACATAATGACAAAGTGCCAAGCGGGAATCACTCAGAGTTACACATCTCTCATGCATGAACCCAACACACAATACTCCTCTCTATTATTGGAGAATGAACATGTGCCAAATATGCCGAAAAAGTAATTAAGCAATTAAGTAATGCATGACAGATAGAAAATAGAAGATGATAACGGATCAGCAACAGTCTTATGCAATAAATGAAGATAATAAAATGCTGTAAGGGAAAAATCACACTCATGATTTTTTAATTTCGAGCGCTGATCAGCTGAGAATACTTTATGCTGCTGGGTCACCACTGCCACCATTACTATGCTGATCCCATACAGAACCGTCAGTGACAAACTGTCTTGAACTGGGACATGCGGTTGGTCAAGGTTAAATGACTGTCACCTGCAGAAGGCAAGACAGAGATGGATCCTCTCCTATGAACTCCTAGAAAGGGATCCTAGAGTAGCCACCACCAGCTAGGAAGCTTTTGAATGCAGCCACAGGCAGTGGGAGAAGTAAACTTTGAAAGAAGCAATCACCAGTCTTCTAAGTTTTGAGGTTTAGTTTTATTTCAATGTTATGATCACCATTCAAGTTTCATTCTTCATTATTCCATGAAATCAGTTTATGAACTTGTGAGATGACTTCATACTGCATAAAAAAAATCCTTGCCTTAAATTCTGACCCCCCTCCAAATTCTGCACAAAGTTATCAAGGGCCAGGTTCACCAGACAGGGCCCAACACGTTATTATTACAAACACACCATATCCTCTTCCCCATTTCACGCAGGCTGGAAGACCTGCTTCACTTGCCTAAACTTGGTCAGCTAGTGCTATCTGAAATGTTTAAAATTTAAAAAAAATTAAAAATATTATCAGAGGACCAATGCATTGTTTAAAACCACATGACTTCATAGACTGGTCCCATCTGCAGTTTATTAGAATGTCAGGCTCCAGAAATCTTTGACATTGCTCAAGACTGCAAGAAAGTTATCAACTAACAGGTATTTATAACTGGTGCCAGTTATACACCAAATAACTTTCTTATTGTTGTGTTGTGGTATTCAGCACATAACCCTACAATTAGCTGTTTGTTATTAAACGCTGTACATGCAGATCATACTTAAACTGCAATCAAAGGGGCTATTTCATGCCTGGGATCCCTAAGACACATCATTTTACAACTCTCTCAACTCCTGTTTTAAAAGCAGAGGAGAGCTGTAAATCAAAGGGTATTTACTGGGCTGCAACCCATAAAACTGCAGCGACAAGCTGTTTTAAGTCAGTTCTGTACGGGCTAACACATTTATATCCAGTAATATTCTCCCACAGATCCTACAGTTTCAGATCCAGCATTCATTCATACAGTGTCTTCAAAGCCAGAAAAGCCCTTTAGTTTTTTAAATTCCCTTGCTTTTGTAGGCTTGATTTGAAGTGGGTGGGGTCAAAAACGATTGCTATTTCAGGAGACAATTACACTGAAAAAGAAATACAGAAGTAAATCACAAACTCACACTTAATTATGTATCTGACATAATTTTTTTTCCACACGGCAGAATCAGGTTGAACAGCAAAGCAAGATGACAACTTGATCTAAGAACAAATACTTCTCCTAATAACAGTAATTTGTTTTATGACCTTGTAATTCTTACTCAATCACCTGTTAATTACTATGTTAAATCCACTCTTCTTGGGACACTTGGCATGATATCTCTACATCCAGTGGTTTTTCAGACTTGCTTCAGAACAAGTACTTATCCCACTACCTAATCATTACATTTCTCCATCTTTCTTACATCATAAGATGACACGTGCTGCCTTTTAATATATATATATATGCAAAAATTATGCAGAGAGGTGATGGATTCTATACTCCACCCTTTATTGGTCCTGGCTTAGCGGGATCACAAACCAACTACTCATTAGCATGAATTATCACAGAATCACAGAAACACTAGGTTGGAAAGGACCTTCAAGATCATCAAGTCCAACCATTAATCCAGCGCCACCATGTCCCCTAGACCATGTCCTGAAGCACCACATCCACACGTTTCTTGAACACTTCCAGAGATGGTGACTCCACCACCTCCCTGGGCAGCCTGTTCCAATGCCTGACCACCCTCTCAGTGAAGAAATTTTTCCTAATATCCAATCTAAAACTCCCCTGGCGCAACTTGTCCATACAAATTATGGACAGTTTTAAGTACAGAGACATATGTTTTAGAGTCAAAGATAAAAAAGTCTTTCACTTTTTTCCAGAAGAACGATCACCGTGATTAAGGTTGACAGACACTCCCAGGTCCCTCCTCCCTGCCTTCTGCACCAGGTCTTCCCAGCTAGCTCCTCCTGCAAGCAGTGAAACTCTTGTCCCAAGAACCCTCTGGAAGAGGTCCAAGCTGCACACAGAGATGCTGAAGTAACCCCCCAGGGACCAATTTTCTAGTATTTATTGCCACAATAGGGCAAGCATGGAGGGATTCTCCATGATGAGCACTGCATTCAAAAGAAAAAGTGTAATGGGAGCAGAGGCCTGCGTTATGTTGACATCAGAGTAATACGATGTCTTGGTATGTTTCTGACATTTAGGCACTTTTCTTATGATATTCACTACTCAACTGTGAAAATGTGGTATATTAAGATCCAGTTGCTTTTACTATTTGTTTGACTGCCTTCCTTTTTAAAATTATAGTAATCAAACTGAAAAAGACTTACATAATACTATTAGCCCATAAAAAAACCCTGCAACTCAACCACAGAGCCATTTGTTTTCCCCAACAAAACAGTTACTAGCAGACTGCAGACACCAGTCTTTCCTTGGCTATCTGCAGCAGGGAAAGCCAACTGAGCATGTGATTGCCACCCCAGTAGTGTCTCAGCTTCATCAGTCACCACTGCCACCCGTGTACTGCTGCCAGTCATCAGGGGCATCTGAGCTGCTTCTGCTAATAAGGCTAGCTCTCACAACACTCTCCGGTGAGGCAGCAGTACCTGAGTCTTTTCCAAAAGAAAGGAAGACTTCTCCACAAACTGTAAGGGTTAATAGCTGCATTAAGTCCCACTCCACCTTCTAAATCAAGCAAAACAACATTTTCAGTTCAGCTCCAATGCTAAATTGGAAGCAATCTCTTCCCCCTCTTCACGGTCTTGCAAAAGACGGTAAACTTTCTGAGGCACCTGAAAGCCTCTCCTGTGTGTTTAATGCTTACAGTACTGCAGCTGAGAGTCTCTACAGCACAGAGCATTACACTTACTCCATCGAGGAGACAAGTTATTATCAGCATCAGCAGGGTGGGGTAAGCCTGGCTACCAGGTTAACAGAGCGCTCCAAGCAGATGCGACTGGGAAGTGGCTAGTGTTTCATGTGTACCATGCCCAAAAGACAACCTGCTTCATGGAATAGCTGCTTTAGTACTAGCTACCAGCATTGCACCTGCAAGGAAAAATCTTCATTGATCGTGAAGATAAAGAAACTGGGACAAGGCATCCTGTCAGGCAGAGTTTCTCTAGGTGTGCACGCACACCCTTTCTTTTCCCCGCAGAGGCCATGTTAGGGAGCATAAGGACCACTTCCCCAAATCATGTTTTTAATTTTGCAGCCAACCAACACATAGAGGCAGATAGGGAATGAATGCAGGACTGACTGATAAGCTTGTACCATATTTGTTTAGGTTGTGGAAGTCGGAAATACTTGTACGGTGCTCACCATTTTTGTTCTCCTTCCCCTGCCCTGCGATGTTTAAATCTCTAGCACAGACACTGAGAATGCCAGAAGTATTGTTTAGCTGCAAGCCCTCAAAGTACTGGAGAGCTTTGAAAAGAAATGGCAA